ATATTATTAGGAACGATACATTTAAACTGTTTTGTAACCAGACATTCTTTCTATCACACCTGTGTTCTGCCAGTGAAAGTTCTGTTGATATCAGCCAATCAGATCCTGAACCTAAACCCACTAGAATCGCTTGTAACGCCTGGTTTTAAAAATAAATTCCCGCAGACCTATAGGGTATATACCAATGCAGACGTTTGCTTGAACTAATAATCTACATGTTCTGAACACGGACTTCAAAGACAATATGTCAGATATCAAACGATATGCAAATGACGTCGGATTATAAAATGAGACTGGAACACAACAAAAACGACCCAAAATTGCGAAGTAAGGCAACCTATTTGTAACGTGAACCTAGCTACATATATTATCAGAAGGTGGTGCCGTAACAGTAAGAATACTTTACATCCGTAAGTTTAAAACTGGTAAAAAAGTTGCCTCCACTAGAAAGCTCACCAACAACATTAACTAGAATGCCCAGTGCCAAAAAGACATTACCTAGAACATCCAATGCCAACGATTGGGGAAGAGTAAATTGCTTTGACGAACACTTTGATATAGTTTTAATAGTAACACAATCGATATCAACTTTAGGATCTAGCGCGTCGACAAGATTTATCAGTGATCAAGGGCTATAATTCTGGCAGTAATTATCGGAATTCATTGACAGTCAAAAAACTTCTCCGTCTCATGCACTTCAACATGTGCTCCAATTTAAAGTCAATCGGATATTCACTTTAGCCTCTAGAGCGCCCCAATCAATTGCGAACGCGGACAGACGGGGGCGATGACAATATATGACATTTTAATTTGGGCGTATAAAAATCGCTATTTAATCACACTTTTGGAAATATCAATATTCCAGCTGAATTGCAAATGTCATATTTCTAAAGAAAATAAAACATATATAGTTTGGTTTACATGGTAACTTGGTTTATGAATCCTTTAAACTTTATTTTAGCCATGAAGTCATAGCCTATTGTTTATATTCCTTCGACAATTTCCTCCCTGTAATAGATGATCAAAATTGGATATGGAAATGGAAGTGTTTTTAACATGAAAAAAATAAAATCAATCTCAAACAATTTTCACTTCTCATTCGTGTTAATAGTAATTACTAGCAATATATGGAGATAATTTCTCTTGAGGAATAAACAAAATTTAAATACAAATTGGTCAACGCTGCCTCGCTAATTCAGTTTTCCCGTTTAAAGTATTTATTTTAAAAATATTGATGGCCAGACAACGAAACATATGTCCCCGACAGCTAAATCGTCCATGCAGTCGGCAAGTTTTGTCTCGTATGTATTATTTTGTGGGTAATTGGGGCATTATGTCAATACCCTACATATCCGATTATATTTTTAGTGGCCAGACAACGAAACATATGTCCCCGATAGCTAAATCGTCCATGCAGTCGGCAATTTTTTTCCATATGTATTATTTCGTGGGTAATTGGGGCATTATGTCAATACCCTACATATCCGATGATATTTTTAGTGGTTTGAGTATTCATCACAAGGTTCTACGACCGATCGACGGTAACATTTTCATGTGGGCGTATAACAAAAAGAAGTGTGAAGCCGGTGTAATTATAGAATGTATTCCATGAAATATTAGCGGCAGTGGCATGTGATGTGCGCTATGCAGAGTTAGTATCCCTTTCCAGAACATATTAAAACACTACTTAAAGTTAGGACATTTATCTTCACCATAAACCAAACAAGGAATCACATTGTTCGTTCCAGTAATTAGAGCGTCCACAAGATTTTTCAAAGTGATCAAGGGCCAAAACTTTGGCAGTAATTATCGGAAATCGCTGAAAATCAAGAGGATTCTTTGTCGCATGGCCAGATACACCGATTAAATTTAAAGTCAGTCGGGTAATGTCCTTAGCTTCTATGGCGTCCACACAAGTAATCGTGGACGCCAGACCGGTGGTGGCGTCAATAGATATAAAAAGTGAAGGAGAGTCGCACAACACACAAAAACCATAAGATAAACCTGCGGACAACACAAACTACAAAGACATGACAAGAAATAAACAACAAATGTATATATCAATTAAATAAGGTGAATGGACCGGGGCCCATCCGTAAACTCGAAATCGCATCCTCGTTCTGTTGTTTATATTCTTGAATGGTATTTATGGAATATTGATCATAACTTTGATTTGCCGACATGTTGTTCAGATTAATGGTCTTTAATCTTACAGACGCCCATCGGTATCCCGATACTAGACAAATATTGTATAGCAATAGTATATAATAATATGTCCATTTATATAGCGCCAAAATTGAGTTTTTAATAGAGAGTTGAAGATTGACAAAGAAGTCACTAAAAATGCAGTTCAACTGGAGTGAATTCCATGTTTCAGCGTCAGCAACAGCAAACGTTCGTTGTCCAAAGGTTGACAGTTTTCACTTTGGTATTACTAGCGGATTGAGATTGTTTGAACGCAGCTGTCTTTTAGGAATATACTTAAACACTGCTATACGTATATTTTACTCAGTGATGTTTATTGTCTTCTCAAGAAGTAATTAATCAATACTTTAATAGTCTTGTGGCTTTCATTTCATAATTTAACATGATGAACATGTAATATATATCGTAACATGTTTATATTATGTTTGTTACTCACTGTCGATATATACATATTATATATATATATGCGCAACATTGTTTATTGTAAGGAATTAACTATTTTATATTTTTGGAGAGGTCTTGTATATATAGAATTGTTCCTGTTCAATACGTTTCAGTTAATGGAATAAAATATCTTTTAAACACATATGAGGCCGGTTGGAACTAAAATTCGCACCTTAGTACGCAACTATTCATAACAGCCAGTGTTACCTGACATTGTCATTGGTTACGAGGCCCGGTATATCTACAACATAGATAAGGCAGGAGTGAATTATCGCGGTCTCCCTGATAAAACGTTCTCTATTCGTGTGTTCAAAAGTGTTTTAGGAAATGTGGGATTTTGACAGACGTTGACAACATGGAAAGTGAGGATAAAGATGACGGGCCCCTAAGTGAACTAAGAGATCTAATTTCAATGACACGGTTGGGGTTGAAAGAACTCTTGAACGTGGACGAGTATCTTGAGATGGACAAAGACTTACCAGTTTGTGAAGAATTTGACGATGACTGGGAAACACGGTTAATGGAAGAGGCCAAAAAATCAAAAGATGGTGAAATTAGTGTGAATGGGAGTGATAGCGAAGACGATATCGAGGACAAACAGAAGCATTCCAATATGTTAATAAACTGAAGAACTTTTGTGCTTCAAACACGCTAGAAAAAACGTTTGGAACAGATGCAAACATTTGAAGCAGATTTAGAGGCCGAGTCAGTGAAGATTAATTGTAGCAATACCTAGGCAACTCTACTGAAATATTTTAAATAGATCTACTGCTGTACATACATGTATATATTATTATTATTATTAGGTTTTCATGTGTTTTAACATTACATCTGTTATCAGTAATAAAGTACATGTCTATAATTTACCTAACACCGTGTTTGTTTTTATTTGAAATTGCCTCAAGCGTGCTCACTCAGTAATGAGACCAACATCTAGACAGTCCCACAGATGGTCTTAATAGAGGGATTTCACTGTATATTGTTTAAACTGTGACAGCCCAAAATAAACACTTCACAAGACAGGCTATAAAACTGACAAAGTCCTGCAGAGTGGTATAATAAAAATAATACTATAATGCACCAGGATGAATGCTTAGCTCGTTGTATCAACACTAAAGTCTCCAGCAGTGGTGTAGGACGTAGGGTACACATTAGCGTACACATAAAAGAAGTCTGAACAGTTGGAATTCGAGTAGGCCCACATAGTATGGTGTATCCCCGTCTTCATTAGCCCAGTGGGAGCAGACTCACTGGACCTTGAAACCCATATCATTTTATTTCTCAGCCATTCGATAACTTGAATTACACCCATTATTGACTAGAAACATTAACAAACGTACCTATCCATGTTACTCGACTATATAACTCGTTATATTTAACTGTAAAACATTGTGGACTATTATTATAGGTCAAGAGTGTGACCCCACAAAAATTTATAAATAGTGGCCAAGGTTAACAGACAAATATAAGACTGTGAGGCTAAGGTGTTTTAAATCGATTTTCTATACAAATTGTGTTTTCGAAAAAATTATCTATAGGACTATGTTCAGTTCTACACATATCAGCTAAAAGCATATGCAATCAAATTTCTGTTTACGAAGAAACTATTTATGAATATTTTTAGATCAACACTTATGCTATAGAAGGAAATACAATTAAAAGTCGTTTACTAAGCCAGATGAAAATATTGTTTGGGCGAAAAAAATTGCATCAGACGTTCAAGAATCGAATTATAAGCATACGTATTCATAGTGTACTATACCTTACAAATACACAAAAAAACCCTAATTAGCCGCGACTGATCAAATATAGGCTACGGATTTACAAACCAGGAACTTATATAGTTTGGTGCTCTAATTGGGGCTCTTTAGTTTAGACCAGAATTAATTGGGGCTCTTTAATTTAATCGTTAGGTTGGGGCTCTACATTTTAGAACTGTACGCTGGACTCTTAGAGTTTGAACCGTTATGTTGGGGCTCTATAATTTAGACCCTGAAGTTGGATTTCTATAGTTTCGACTAGGATTTCGCCATAAAGACAAGATGTTAACTTACGTGTAGATAGAATCTGTTTCGAGTTGGTATAAACATTCAACAATAAAACACACAATCCAGCAGTTAAACAAGCAGATTTATATCACAACTATATTGAGTAGGATGTCATGCTGATACAACCCATTTATCTTATACACATAACAGCAGAATCTTCCAACAGTCGGGTCACGGGTTAAACTACAAACAGATACCGTATGACTGTTTCTGTTGAAGAGGGAACCACGTGTTGGCGAGAAGAATAAACTACATTTTCATACAGCTAAAGACGCGAACATACAATCAAATTGCCCTACTTACCTATTCGCAATTCTTGTTTTCTGTCAGGCAATAGTTTAAGTTTAAAAACACACTCTCCCCAGCCATTACTGACTAGTTAAACGAAGTCAATAGCCGTTAAAACTTGTATCAGACCTAGTTATTGTAATTTAGGTAAAGCTATCGATCGTCTCTTTCAGTTCTAGTTTTCTCTCACTGCCCCCCCGTTCTCTCATACAGCTGGTAAACATACACTACAGCTGTGTCACTCTAGTACGCTACATCCACGTCGATCAGTCTGTCCGTGTTAATAGAGCTTTCTCATTCGGTTAACTTAAAATTAACGAAGACCAACTTGACATGGCGTATAGTAGAAGTAGATTATCAGTATAGATTATTTATTATGTAGTAAATAGACCTTGGCTAATGATGAAGAGATGCCATGGTGAATTGCCAGGCGATATAACCCATATCTACCTTAATGATGCTGTATAGAGTAGATTGTCTTCTTCTCAACCCTGCATTATTGAAGTGCCAAGGAAATGAAATAATGTTTAACGTCCTACAGTCTTGCTCCGACAGAGCTTAATGGCCTACTCGTGTATCGAATTCCAGTTGTCAGGGGTTCTTTTACGTTCACACCAATATGTGAACGTAAAGTTGTCCATTGCCAGGCCCTCTGTCCTGCACCTTTGATAAGGGGGAATAAAGCCGGGAAATCCCGATGAACTGTTTCGATTAAGAACACATGGATCGAACATGGAACCTCCAGGTTAGCGATACAGGGTTTTGCTCATCGGTCGTTGGGGGCCGTTCTTAATCTTGAAATTACTTAGTAAGGTTTTCACAGGTACACTCTAGAAAGCATCCTTTAACGATATGCCGGCCTGCCCCGGGTAATGTGAAAAAAAGAAAAAATATTTTTTTGGAGAAAAAATCCTTTTTCCTTCTATTTAACAGAATAAAGCGCCCGAAATCCCATGCCGTTTTGATCTTTAAATTGACTAAAGTTACTCTACTCTATGGGCGATATTTTGTTCGGGCCACATTATTATTTGCTTTATCTGTTTTTCAGGACTTAAATTTCTGTGAATGCAACTGATTGAGATCAGATGAGCATTGAACATTTTTCAAATTCAAGTGGGCATATGGTGTTATTTCGGTCCCAGAAGCATAAAAAGCAAGGCTATAATCGATTACTTTCTAGTTGCTATACTGACGGGCCGAAATGATGGCAACCAAACGCGTTTGCAGCTAATTTCAGGTTCCTGTATCATTTGTCTGCCGCGGCCCCAAGGAATCTAATCGGGAATTTTATCTGCGATTTCATTTCCGCCCCAAAATAGGGAATGTACGTGGGCACATACATCATTTTGTGATTTCGGTTCCAGAAACACAAGATAATCCTATATTTTGGAATAGTTTCTAGTTGCTGTACCTTCGGACTGGATGACGGGAAAACGCATTTGCAGACGTCTAATTTTCTCATATTCTCGGAAGCCTTGCTTTGCGACTTGGGTGGTCGCAGGCGCCCGGCTTTTTTCGGGTTCGGGCATTTCAATTTTTGCACCCGCTAATACTGACAGGGCCTGTATGACTATGTCTAGAGTCTAGATTTACACATGATGGAAAGCATATTGTAATATTGTTGGTTATATCGAATGCCGAGATATGTTTGCAAATCAGATATTTTTATGCAGGAAAACAATAACACGACATCATTGCGACACAACATGAAGGCAGTTTCATTTATTGCTTTTCGTCTTCATCAACATTTGATTTAGATTATTGTTGTATCCATAAAGTTTTGTTTCAGTTAGAATTTTTCCTTATGACCCAATTAAACAATCCTTGCAAACCCGAACAAAATCCAACAAGAACTGTAGTATGTAGATCATTCCTAACTTTCCACATGCATATAATACAGTTTATCATATCAACTTTAAGGGTAGATTTCCAGCAACTTAAAGTAACACAGAATCAGTTTCAGAAGCCCGTCAGTTTCTTGGGATTTGGTACTTTTGTCGATTTCAGTAATCACTTCCTTTATAGGCTCTTGACTACATGTACACCTAAAATCTATGCATATCTTTTTCTTGCCATTTGATGCAAGCATATATTGTTCCTCTAAATTTACACCGGTTACACCCAAGAAGTGGTTAAAACAAAATTATTTATTAAAGAGAAAAGGCCATTTGTTTTTGATTTCTGCTATAGTTGAACCTTCTTTCGATGTGTGTTTTGCTTGATCAAGGATTTTATCCGTTTTAGCTTTTCATCAATTAGCCAACCCCTTTAGCTTGCAAAAGATCATTATCGGAACACTGTGGGTTTTATACTAAACAACTATAGCTCCAATATTTTACTCTTTTATTATTATCGGGTGCCGATGCAAGTTCTCCAGGGCGCTTTCTATTCAGATTGTCAATTCTTTCACGTCCTTGTATTAATAATACTCGTGCATCCGCATCCAATAACTGTTTGTGGTAGTGTATATTTGTATTTATTGTATCTTGAATATTTGTTGTATTATTGTCCCTTTAATATATTAGTTATTTATGGTATATTTGGTGTTCGTTGTATTGTCCCTTTAATAGTCCATCTCTAAGCTGGTTAAGAATATCTTTACAACAGCAAGTCTAAACTCTACTCACTTTTAACTCACTAAAATAACCACATCTCAGCTTATCTTTCAAATCTCACTTGCATCTTAACCTTGTTACAAGGAGGATCACATTCTGTCACTTGGTAAGTTTTATATTTATTTGACTGACTTTAATATTTTATTTGTTTAAAATACAGATGTGACGTCACCCTTTGATGTTGGCGTACCATTATTTCAAATAATCGTACGGGCAACTTGCCAATCGTACCTTGTCAAATATTAGACTCGAGTGACGTATTTCACTGTAAACGCACGTGCGGAGTGTCTGTATTTTAAGATGTTTAATGGTCTCGAGCTGAGACATTGCGTAATATATTGTAAAAACACTCGGACCTGACGGTCCTCTTGTTGTTACAATATATTACTTAATGTCTCGCTCTCGACCATTAAACAATACTTAATATGGTAATGTAATTAGAATATATTTATATATGAAATAATTACATTACCATATTAAACAGATAAAATATTAAAGACAGTCAAATGAATATAAATTGAACCATGTTAGTTCCGAAATAACCTGGTTTGTGTCGAGTGGACGTTAAACCCCTCTCTCTTCACAGGTCTTATATATGTTTGTATGGGGACCTTTTCTAGGGTATGGGAAACTTGAATGACCAGTCAGTTTTTAAGCTATTACTGCCACTGTTGCAGATACTTTCTCACTGCCCATTGGTGATGTCATTGATGTTGCTTAGTAGTAGAGTCAAATTACCGAATACAACCCCCCCCCCCCAAAAAAAAAAATCAAAATAAAAAAAAAAATAAATTGCAAGAAAACGTTTTATTGCATTTTCCTATAGTATTTGGTCCAGAGACAATATACCAAAAGTTGTCCGAAATTGAGCCACCGCAAGGGGTCAAATTATGACGTAAAACAAAATGGCTGCCGTTTGACCAAAATCACCCATCTTTACACATATAATTTGAAATAATCTGTATTAAACCACTTTTAAAAGTATAGACTATCATAAAACATTATTGTCTCAAAAGTCTTACTGTTGAAAAAAGTGTCGCGACGTATGAGATGTTGCATGACGTCATAGATGATGTCATGACAAAATGAGTACCCATTAATGGAGAATTCATATTTACGAAACAGCGGTGCACATGAAATAGTTTTTGACCTGAAAAATACATGTGTTAGCAAGTAGCTACTGGTTAAAGGCAGTGAAGTCACGATGCTGATAGCAAAACCATTATTAAGTTTAGAATATTCAAAAACAAGATCAAATTTGACAAACTATTTTTCAAAATTGGCTAGAAACCAGAATGTCAACTCTTTCCCACCGAGCCCCCAATTATCACATCTGCATCAACAGCAGTCCTCATTTTCATCTAGAATGGAAGCATGGTTCATATTTTCATAATTCCCATCCTGACAAGATCCACAAGCCCCTGTGCAATTAAGTCCGTACTTCTTACGGCTACATCTTAGTGTATTACATTGAGCAGAACAGTTGCAGTGAACCCTGGTGAAAATTTTAAAGATTTATTGGTAGGTAGAATTATAGGGGCATTATGGAAGATTAGATAAAGAGCTGGCACTTCTCACTATAATAGTTAAAAACTAGATAATGTAAAGGGAATATGCTGAAAATTTCGTACTAAAGCCTGTACGATAAAAAACATAGTCTCGATTATCCATTTTTGGATTAAAGCATCAATGAGCATTGAGCAGCAAATCAGATTCAAATCCAGTGAAAATGTAACACATAAGATCGCATTCAGAGTTGATTAAGGTCTCTTCATGTTAATAAATGTCTAATTAATAATTTAGATAACATTTCAGGCCTAAAGAAAGACTTGCAATATGCAGCTTTAGTTCCTGCATAATGCATGTTTAATGTACACCTTACATGTACAGTAATACAAGACATACCCATGGCCCACTTGTTTAGTTCTACTCATAAGGGGGGTGGTGGATGGCCGAATGGTTAGCACGTGCGCGCTGCGCTGTATCATACGGTCTGTCATTGAGTCAACTGGTGGGGTTTCGATTCCCCGGTTGTACGTGACAAGTAGGGTCGCCTGTCCAACCTCGTGGGTTTTCTCCGGGTCCTCCTTGTGCTAAAGACCCCTTTCCGCAAGCCAATTATTGAAATAAAATTAAACCATATGTTAGTCCCGAAATGACCTAGTTTGTGTCGAGTGGACGTTAAAACCCATTTCTCTCTCTCACCATCATTACTGGTGAGAATTTGTCTCCTTGAACATTCCAGCCCCAATTTGCCGGGTCCATATTGTCAATACTGCCCATCCATTGCATGACTTGCAGGTAGCTTCGTCGTGCATGATACGTTGTAGCTGAGGTTGTGGGGGCAGTCGTTCAGGTGTTACAAATGTCTTTGCAGTCGCCACTTTTTTGCAGAGGTAACTTTATCGCAATTATGACGGGGATGCTGAATTTGTCCCGTTGAACAAAGCCACCATTGCCTTACACCCAGCACTTTCAACAGCTTCTTGACCCGAGTCTCGAGCACAGAAAATCCATGAACAGGTCCGTAAGACAGAATCGTCTTTGATAACTTTTGAAACGCTGATATTTTCCCCAACCAGTAAATGCAAACAACAGATCAGTACGGAAATTATCCCCGAGAAGATTCTTCAAAACTTTGTCGTCATACACATTTGGCTTCCCTT